GTCTGTGGTTGCACACTGCAGTCATGTTTACTATGAGAATGGCAATTGTTGTGAGAGGATTCACAGCATTTTCTCCCAGTTGTGAGGAGGTGCTAATTGCCCAGGGACATGGTGATTACAAGTGTTGATAAATGGCGATACGACAGGGGTGAATGTGAACACGTGGAAACTGTTTCCCACCATTTATAGCAAAATATTGGACTGCAATCCATTTGGATCTCATTATTGTGCTGCTGTTCTGCTCTTCAACACAGACTACGCACAGAATCATCCTTGTTTTTCTACATTTATTGACCAGGCTGCTGAAGACCCCGGTCTACTTTAGAAAATAATGTACTGTTGAGCTGAACAAGCATATTGACACTGTTTATAAACACTTTTACACACGTTTAAATACGACAACAAGCAAGATTCTTCTCTTGATGCTTTCTTCACCAGTTTCCCACACAGTCTTGCACATGTCTGAGTGACTCAATGAGATGCCAAGTGTCGGGGATAAGGCACTAATTAGAGATTGGTCTCTTCAGGGGGCCTCTCTCGTTAATGATCACCCCACTAATCAAAGCTCCTTTTCCATTGTCTTTTTTCCCCTGCTGTCTTTCTTTTTTCAAGCTCCACCATGTCCAGCCACACTCCAGACGGAAAACCTTTACTCTTTCCTCCCAGACATGTCTCCATTTACCTGCATCATTTTGAAAGTCCTTAGAAAACAAGGCCTATGCACTTAGGTTATTTCTGCACCTGTTGCTAGGTTTTCCAAAAAAAAAGTTTGAGTTAGCCTGCACAGGACACATTCCCACACTGTTCCATGGCCCTGTCACTCCACAAGACAAGCACGCACTGGCATGTGCACACTTATTGTGTTCCTGATTGTCAAGGTTAGGAGACATCTTAGCTGCGTCCCAACAGAAGGAGGATGCAAAGGAGGCGTGAGGAGGGTTGCTGAATGAGAAGCAAGAAGTGGGAGCACAAGTGGTTGCACGGAAACAAGGAGTGTTGAGAAATGGAAACTACAATATAATGACGGCACAGGCCACTCACCAGCACCAGCCGAGGAAAATAATGGTGGGGGTGAAATGAGAGAGATGAACAGAGGATTTGGTGAAAGAGAGATGGTTGTCGATGTGTCCTCCCCCATTCTTAGGCACATGCTATTCAAAGCCCCCTAATTTGTGTCATTAATTTAAAAGCTGATGGGATGGAGTTAAGAGGTTTTGCTCTCTGCAACTCCTTGGATGTGAGAGAAAGATAGAGGAAAGAGAGGAATGAGGGGTGGGTGTTGGGAGGATGGGTCTTTGCAAAAAAAAAAAAACGGCAGCCATTCTGCCATGAATCTCTATTAGGGTGCTAATGATACCATTCTGATACCTCTCAACCATTAGTGTGAAATTGGGAAGCATTAATTATTCAAATGAAAATCCATACAGCTGCCGCTCACATGACAGTGTTCCTGCTTCCATTAAGTAAAGGTCCACGCCGTTAGCCAACCTCTGAGTGTCTTCTGTAGGAATGTCACCGGAATTAGCATGCAGCTTGTCACCTCCGGTAGAAACTAATAAAACGAAATGATACAAAAAAATAATACAAAATGACAAAATGTAGCACAGATAGCAGTATGTATTGGCCTTCATATTAAATGCATTTTATATCCTCCTGACTACAAGTAATTAAAGTGAATTCAAATTCATTCCATGTGTCCTCTGTGGAGGACATTCTTATCCACCCACTGTGTACAACTGAATGAACTCCTTTTGCTATATACAGGACCTTTAGGGCTTTTCAATGATCTATTCATCCATCTGTGAAGGGGTGGGGCTCGGGTACCTTATAAAGATTTGGAGGACAAACAAAGTGCAGATTACCTGCATCAGCTTGACCAATTGGAGAGACAGTGACATCAGCCATGTAGTTTACCTCACCTTCCATGAACCACAGAGCAGCCAATTTAGTTTACTTTATTTAAATACAAACAAGTATGTGTTCTCTGATTTTATACGTATATGTGTTAAATCTCAAATCCTTATTATATTAAGTTCCTTGAAAACAAATGAGAAATATTGAGGCGCTTAAACGCAGACATGAATAAAAAACAAACAATAAAACCATTAGACTTCTAATTCATGCCTGATCACACGCCTAAATCAAAATTAAAAAATGCGATTGGGTAAATACATCTGCCTGCTCTGGTTCCTTCTCTTTTTTTGTTTGCATTGAAACACTGATCCAGCAGAAGCTAAATGATGAACATTGTTCTTATATCAGGAGACAGACTTCACTGATCATCCATCAAATTAATTGTTCTATTTTATGAGCTGACAGCTGATCCAACTCTAGTAGCTGATATTTAAAAAAAATCATCAGGCCATTCACTGAGAGAAAACCTTGATGAGGTTTTGGTTTGTTTCCAAATTCTCTCATCGTCTGGACTGCTTTGAAATATATGAATGGTTATTCACAGACAATGGGCATTTTTATTTTCTTCATCATTTAATTTTTTAAAGTTCAGCTAAACCCATCAATCTGTCTGTGCCATCAACTCCTCTGGATGTTGTATACCAGAAAAGACACTGAAGGGCACACTTCAGTTGGAAAGTACACTGGAGGTTCTTTCATACACTGTAGAAGAGAAAAGAAAAAAGTGCATTTTAATCCTTACATACTTTTGATATGGGCATAAAATAAAAAGAATAAGCATGTTCCTCTGTTGGACCCAGGACCAAATTCTATCAGGGTCAGGACAGTGGTTGGTGTGATGAAAGGGAGAAGTCTTTCACATGAATCGATTCTCCGCCCCAGTCTGCTTCAAAGGGCTGTATCCTCTAGTATGTGTGACACAGTATCCTACGCTTGTTTGGTGGTTGTACTTCTGAGTCTGAGCTACTGCACAGCATATACACTGGAGTGAAACAGGAGTAGACCTAACATGAACAAATTGATTGGAGCGCTCTCTCGCAGGTGACCTTGCACTTGTGTCAGCAGCACGCTGCGGTCAAGCGAGCGTGGCCAGATGCTGAGCTGTGGCCTGGGGAGTGGCATGTCTTTCTTGTCAGGGATTTCATCCACATCTTCTACTCCATTTTCACACTAGCTCCCCCTGGCAATTTTGTGTCGTATACCACTTCTCACATCTCTGCCGCTAATGCCTTTCTCTATAGATCATTAGCCTTCTCTCTCCTCTCCACTGTTAGTGATCGTTCAGTCAGAAATGCTACGCCTCCCCTGTGCTCCGTGTCGTGTGGCCGCTGCTCATAGAAAGGGCGAAGAGGCTTCGATCTGAGAAGTTGGACTGTTTACTTTGATTTGATCCATGGATCCACATTTGGTTTGGGGCCAATGGAAAATTTGAGTTGCCTGTACTGGTGTTCCAGCGTTAGCCTGCAGCTATTGTTGCTCAGTCCTGCGTTGGACTTATAGTTTTCCAATGACAGCTGGAGTGTTTGTTGTTGATGAGGTGCTGTGTTGGGCCTGGGCACAATTTTATGATCTGACAAACACAGGCTACATGCTGAAAGCTTTGTTTTTTCCCCCTCCTCTGCTCTTTGGCCCCCACCTGACCCTCTGCTGCCAGCGTCACTGTCGCCGCAGGTTTGCATTGGCTTCCTGCCTTGCGTATATATTGTTCTCCTCTAACTTCTCATCTGTCTAAACTTCACCCCCGCCCACCCTGACCTCCTAGCTGACTGTGATGTGCTCTCCCATTTGGAGAAGAGGAGTCTTGTAAGCCCTGGTAACAGAGGTTAATCCTCTTTTATTAGAACCGGGATTACTGGAGGGAAAGGGACAGGAACAGGCTCCTCATGCGGATCCTAACCTCCACTAGAAATAGAAGAGACCAGTAAAATACCCCGACTGACAAAACAGAGCTGTCTGTCAGGTCTGTGAAGAGAGGTGTAATAAAGTCGTTTTGGAACGGGGCTTTGTATTAATACTGTATGGAATTGGTCGATTTATTAGTTTTATTTATGCAAACTTTACTGACAAATCTATTTTCCATGCACATTCAGCAGCAGATCTTCATGTTTTTTGTTTTTTTTTTTATTTTATTTATGAAAAAGAGTCACAGGCAAATAATTCAGTTTATGTTGTCAATTATCTTTTTTTATTTTTAAAATGTTTATCATTGTTTTTATCAGACAAAAAGTCGCACAGTAAGAAAGATTTGCAGGGAACTTTACTGACAAATCTATTTTCCATGCACATTCAGCAGCAGATCTTCATGTTTTTTGTTTTTTTTTTTGGTTGATGTTACATCAAAAAAGAAGTCCATATGAAGCAGGAATAGCACCTTTTCTGAAAGTTGTTTTGCACAAGATGCAGGTAGTACAAGCTGCGGTGTCCATCTGAAGTGGTGAAAGCTGAAGTGTAACTAAACAAAAACCCCTCAAATCCAGCCGTAGGTCATGGTGGAAGTCTGTATCTCAGCACTCTATCAAGGTTTATCTAAAGATTTTAACTTTTCATCTGGTTCTCAGTTCCCCGGTGTCAAAAGATGTCAATAGAAGCAGGTTTCCAGCCTGGTTGTTCCATAATGGATGTACACTATCAAGCTATAGGCGGTCTCCAGTTTGTTTTGATCATAAATGATAAAACATTATCAGTTTGAAGCCACTGGCTCACGCTGGGTAAACTGCAGCTGTGTGTGTCTTTTTGTTTGTTTGGTTGGTTTTTTTGTTTTTTGTAACCGCTGTTTCAGAGGTTTCTATGGCTCGGAGTGAAAATCACTTTTTGTGCATCTTCTTCACATTCATCTCCCAAACAGTATTGTACAGTTTAAGACCTGATTAATCTGTCTTCTTTCTTCGACAGGCTCATGCGATGCCGTGCTTCTTTTTTTTCCCCTCACCTCTTTTTTTGGTGTAATAAAATGTCTCTATTCTACTAACACTCTTTTGCACTGTTTTGTGACTGTTGTTCAGTAAAGACAGTTGTGTCTGTGACATTATTAATCTATTCTTTATTTGTTTTCTCTGTCTTTCTTTCTCCCCCATGCCTAAAAATAGAAGTGGAACAAAAAGGTAACTAAATACCAACAACTTTTTTTTTCTTTTCATTTTCACCTCCATACATATTCTGCCTTCATTTCCCTGGTGATGGGTTGTTTGAGCAGGTATTTGGACATTTTGTCATTTCACGCTCACTGTGCTCTTCACTGGTGAGGTTTCACATGTCATTCATGGGGAAGAAGAAATTGTTGCTGTTACATATATGTGTTAAAAAAAGTTAAAAAATATGTGTATATATATATATAGTTTAAGTTGTGTACATGTTGCATCAACCAAAACAATACAGAATATACAGTCATTTTAATTACATTTTGTAAGAATCTATTTGTTTTTATCCAGGTCATAACCAGTGATTATTCCATCTCTGCTTTATTGGCAAGATCATAATAAGCACAGGGTTATATTGGCAGATCGATAGCTCGTCCAATGAGCTGTCAGCATTTTTGATGATAGCACTATCATGATCACGGGTTATAACCTTCAGGGACACGGGAGCCAATACTGGCTCACATCATGTAGTCATATTCTACCCGGTAACCTGATCAGCAGCCTCACGGCGGGCGTTGTTTTTGTGGACTAACCTTCATGTTTCGTGACTGCACAAAGATCTCCATTGTCAGACATTAAATACAATCCTGGATTGGAGTCAAAGATGTTAATATGATCATTAAACAAGAGTCAGGAGTTGTGTTTTAATAGCTGCGTAGTATACAGTATGTCTCCTTTCGTAGAAGTCGTTAATGATGACGCGTCACTGGAAACTGTGGCGAAAGGAGAATAAAGAATGAAGGTGAAAACGCTCTGCTGATGTGGGAACTTTTTTCAATTCCCCATGAAAGACATGTTTCCCTTTATGTCCCTTTATGGCTCAAATGTTTGAATCATCTTTCATCTCTGCTTATGCACACTCAGAGACATTTTGACAACCTCTGCAGAGGTCCGTAGGCTGCTAGCACAAAGCTCACCTTCCCCGACCTTGCACCTCGGGCACATCTCGTCCTCTCCGCCCTGCAGAAATAAAAAACACAAAAACAAAGACCTCTCAGCATTTAGTAGAGCAACTGCCGAGATGTGTGCCGAGGTGCTATGTCCACGGTAGGTATCCTGGCAGATTTTCCACCTGCAGGAAGAAAACATGTTTAATCTTAAGAGATTACATGGGAGAAGAGCCGGTGTTTTCTCTGTTCCATTCTTTCTTCTGCTCCTTGGAGGGCTCAGCTCATCGTCTCGGCAGCAAGGACCTGTCACTGCTGTGGCAGGGTCCTTGCCCATTACGCTGAAAGGAGCTCATGCACACACACGCACACACACACACACACACATAATCTGTGTATTCTGTGCAGAAAACTGCACACTGTCTAAACTATTTATTAGAGTAGAACAGAATGATGTCCAAAGATGTTATTTTATCAACTGTTTCTAAACATTTCTATTTAATGATTACATATTTAAGATTATGCTTTTTATTGATTATTTTCAGTTTTAATTTCAAGGGGGAATGTATTTTATATGTATAATGTTAGTATTAGATTATTGTCAGTTTATCATGAGTATTGTATATGAATTTATTTTAAAATACTATTAATGTGTATAATGTAAACAATATAATGGACTCTCTTTGTAATTTTAATGTTTCTTTCATTTCTTTTCATGCCAACATAACTAAAATATATACAGTAGCAACAAAGTCAAGTAACCAAAAAGTCATAAAATTGAAGACAAAAGAAGAAGAAAATTATCAATAATTCTATTGTAATTTTTTTTAAAAACAGGTAAAAAATTCTGCCTTTGTAATATGTATTTCTATTAGAGAAAAACGATGTGAAGGGCTACAGGACCTCTGTTTTTCTGTAAATTTAATCAGACAAAATATGGTTATATTACTAATTTTGTGAACCAATATTTTTGTTTGTATGTTTAACTACTGTATCTATTTAGACAGGACCAATAACTAATTCCCTCAGGGAAAATGTTTAATTAGTTATTATTTAAGTCATCAATTTAGTTTAAATTTTATTTTAATCATTCAGTCATTGTTCTAATTTTATATGAGTAATAAATGAAACAGACACGCCCAACGTTTACTCCCTGATTGATGAAAAGAAGCTAATGCTAAATGTTCCCGGACTTTGAGGACAGACAACATTGTCATTTGTTTTCTTCTACAGGTCAGTGCACACTGACACTGAAACTGCCCGACAAAAAACAGGATAAAATAAAAAGAAATTATATAAACTGCTCGCCCTCACACTAAGTGAATGTATGAACAGTGTAATGTAACGTTAGGTGAATGCATTGTATGTTGTTTATGATTGTTTAATAATGGGTAAAAAAAAATAAAAAATGTAAAAAATAAAATGTTAAAAAGACATTTCCTCAGTTCCAGAATCATAGGAACAACAACTACAAAGTTATAAATGTAACCGAAATATATATAGAAATAAAATATGGTGGATTCATTAAAGAACCATGTCACTTACTCCTAGTCGTCATGTTTTCCATAAGTAAATTTGAATTCCCACAATAGGATGTCCCCTGGACCACTCCTGACCTGCTGCAGCTGCACTGCCTTCAGTCCAGCCTTATCAGATTTGAGTACAAAGCAGTTCAGTAATAATTGCTTTACCGTGGGTGGTGTTGTAAATCATCATCAACCTTAGATGTCATGTGGATGGAATAATTGACAGGCAGTCGTTACAGACAAGATGCAATTAGAGTAATTTATTTTTCCTCTTTTTGTTTTCTTTTCCCTCCAGTGCCGCCTTGGACAATAATTATAGCAATGCTAATGATTAAGATCTTATTTTTACTCTTGCTCTGTGTCTTATTCCAATAACAAGGCTATTCACACTGTAATGAAAGAGGGAGGTAAGCTGCAGGGCGTTCAAGTTGGAGGCGGGCAGCATCAACTCGTGTTATTTCTATTTTATTTTTTTTTTACTTTAATGTCATTAGCCGTATCCATTAATTTAATTTATTCATCAGTCTCCATTCATGCAGATGTGAATTCTTTCCGTGATATCACGACTGTTTGCTTAAATAATTACAGGTGCCTGGAAAATGAGGTAAGAACAGTAATAAGAGGAACTTCTATAATGTGAACTGTGCAACACGGTTTGGAACCATTAAAACAGTGGCCCATATGTGTGCTTATCAGGAGTGATGTGTTTGTTTCCCAGCCACTTGATTGTGAAATCTGAGAAGTAATCATGTCAACTTATTCCTTATATTAATTCAATGGAAAACAGAAAAAGGAATTCTTGGAATGACTTGGGATCCTTGGGCCCTTAGAACACTTTGTTTCAGCTGTTGTGTTTAATTCAAGCCTGTAATACCTGACAATGTAACTCTGTACTTGTTTTTCCCCTATTTTGGCTCCTCAGTTTTCCTGTGCCCAGGGCTTCTACGCAGGGTGTACCAGAGCGAGCACCTCTTCGAGTCGGACCATCAGTCTGGAGCCTGGTGCAAAGACCCTCTTCAGGCCTCCGATAAGATCTACTACATGCCGTGGACACCATATCGCACAGATACTTTGACTGAGTATTCGTCGAAAGAAGACTTCATCGCAGGAAGGCCGACCACCACCTACAAACTCCCACATCGTGTCGATGGCACAGGGTTCGTGGTCTACGATGGGGCGCTCTTTTTCAACAAGGAGCGCACACGCAACATTGTCAAGTTTGACCTTCGTACTCGCATTAAGAGCGGCGAGGCCATCATCGCCAACGCCAACTACCACGATACATCACCGTACCGTTGGGGAGGGAAATCAGACATCGACCTGGCTGTGGACGAGAACGGCCTGTGGGTCATCTATGCCACTGAGCAGAACAACGGGCGCATCGTCATCAGTCAGCTCAATCCCTACACACTGCGTGTCGAAGGCACCTGGGACACGGCTTATGATAAACGATCGGCGTCCAACGCCTTCATGATCTGTGGAATCCTGTACGTGGTGAAGTCAGTGTACGAGGATGATGACAACGAAGCCACGGGGAATAAGATCGACTACATCTACAACACAGAGCTGAGTAAAGATGGCTTTCTTGACATTCCCTTCCCCAACTCCTACCAGTACATTGCTGCTGTGGATTATAATCCCAGAGACAACCTGCTGTACGTGTGGAACAATTACCATGTGGTGAAGTACTCACTGGACTTTGGAGCACTGGACAACAGACTTGGTAAGAAAACATTTTTTGTTTGTTTTGAGTCAGTTTAGGAGTATTGGATGGTATGGTGATTTGAATGAATACAATTAGACTAAGAAGTTGGAAGTGTTTGTTTCTGAACTATGTGTAATGTTCCTTAAGGCTTGTGGTGCTAATGGTTAGTTTGAGGATTTGTGTCCTTCAAAGCTCATCCTAAAACTTTGCAATGAAAGGCTAAACTATTCTGAAAATGTATTATCAAATATATAATCACCTGTTTATGTTAGCATCTCTATGAAATTAATAATAATTGGATCCTCGCTGCTAATTCATTCAGGAATATCCTCAGTTATATACTGAGATTCCATTGAAAGCATTGTTTGAAAATCCTTTGTGATGATGATTTTGAATTCCAGAAATGGCAGCTCTACACAATATGTTTTACAGTATTTTTGCAGTTTGGTTATGGTCTAATATCAGTTGGATGCAGTTTGGAGACAAGTATAAGATAAAGCGAAGCAGTTTTCAAAAACTGAGTTTCAATTAAATTCTCAGTTCACACTCTTTGTGTTTTCTTCCAGGAATCATTCTCTTCTCTCTCTCTCTGTTGAAAACACTGAAACATCTTTGAAAAGTCTAATTTCTCCACTCCACTGTTCTTTTTATAAATTGGTGCTTTGGGGGAGAAAAAAAATAACCTGTTTTGGCACAACAGAGTAATTCTTTGTGCTATCTCATCAACAGCTCTAGTCAAAAATGTCACAAGTTATTTGACTGTGAAGTCCCAGCCTCGCCTTTCTCTTCCCGAGCTTTCTCTACCTGCTGCTCGCCGCACTTTAATTTGTTTCCCTCAGTTGGCTGTTAGTCTGTGCCGAGCCCTGCTTCGACACTTCATATAATACAGAATATTTATTCATTGAGCGGCTGTTCTTGCGGTGTTTGGCTGTGGCGATAGGCAGCTTCAAATAATAGAACTTGGTAGGTTTTTTGGGGAGAAAACGTGTTGTTCTGTGCTTTCAGGATTAAACGTTCGATTATCATTTTGTGAAGGACGCACAATGATAACACACTTCCTTTTTTTATTATTAAAATGTGGAACATATTTCTGTACATTTGTAGTGAGCTGTGTTGGATTTGTGCACGGTTTGGCTTTTGTTGTGCAGAGCAGGACGACTTCCAGGCCGTGAGTCTGCTGCGTGAATATAGATAGTAAAATGTTGCATTAAATGGATTGATGGAGTCTGAGAACAAATATAAATGTCAAATAAGGGAATGAAAGGATGATTGAATGGACTCCGGAGTCATAAACATTTTCAACAACAACTATAGGAGGAAGAAAACATTGGGTCATGGGAATTCGGATTAGAGTACGCTGTTGGATATAGTGCAGTTTTCTTAATATCGTCTTAAAAGGAGCTAACATTTTATTTTGGTTAAAAGATAATAATTTGTGATTTATATATATATATATATATAAATGTTCAATCAGTTAGACTAAATTAGGAGTCTGAAACTCCACTTAACACCAAAGGAGACATTTTCATAACTTTACCACCAAATAAAATTAATCAAGAGCAAAAATTTCCACCATTTAAATAAACTTCATACTGCAGTCTATACAGTTTTAAATATTTAATTTCTACTGTGTAACAAATTTCTACGGAAAGTTTTCACACCGCCTTAAATTTTCCACTCTTTATTACATTTGTTATATTGCAGCCTTTTGCTAAAATCATTTAAGTTCATTTTTTCCTCATTCATGTGCACACAGCACCCTATATTGACAGAAAAACACAGAATTGTTGACATTTTTGCAGCTTAATTGCAAATTTAACACCTGTTCTCAGGCTGAAGATGACAGTGACATTATGTTGTTTGGTTTGCAACAAGCTGTCTGAGCTGAAATTAGCTCAAACATGTTTTTAAATACACTATCACACAGTCACAGATAAGTCAGGGACTGCAGACATTGTAGGTTGGATCTATGTCTACCAAAGGCAAGGATTAATTGAATATTTTACTCACAAATGTTTTAGTATGCTTCCAGTGGACTCACCACCTGCAGGAAGGTTCAGGGGGGTTGGTACGGTGCAGTGTGATTTGGGTGGCGGTCGTGGAGACTGCTGCCCCCGCGACCCAGTAACGGATAAGCGGATGAAAATGGATGGATGGATGGGATGTTTGAGTATGAAATTTAATTTGGTCCATTCACTAAAATTAAATATCCTATAAATTAGAGCAAATGCAGAACGGCTGAGGAGCCACCTCGTAAACCATTGGTTACATTTTTTTTTGCGTAAAGTGTAATTCCTCAAAAACTTCAAGAGAAATTTAAAATACAAATCAATGCGTTTTCCCACTGGGGCTAAGATAAATATTATAGGAAAAGAAATATAAATTGCTTTATAAACTATTATAGGAAAAGAAATATAAATTGCTTAGCTGTGTCCCTCTACCTAAGCTCTGTGACCTCTATTTTAGCCACAATGTAATCCAGTGTCATGATAATACCCTGGAAAAGAATTTTTTATGTTTTTTGTGATGGCTGTGACTCCGGCTCACTTCCACTCCTGCCGTACCAGTGGAGCATAGTGTATGGGCAACAGAGCAGCAGAAACAGGGCCAGACACACAGCTGGGGCCCTGCTGCAGCGTGCCAAATCACCTGGGCCAGAGCTCAGCACGTGCACTGAGCAGCGACAGGTTAATGATATCTGAACTCCCAAAACTGTTCTCAACTGTCTTTTCCCAGAAACACATTGAAACAGACCTTTCTTCCACGGACGCAGAAGAAGATGTGGTGATTTACATACTAGTGGATATTCATTCGACAGACCACGCCATAACAGCCCATTTTCAAGGACAGATGATCCATGCCCACGAGTGCTTCCATGACAACTCAGCTGATAATTAAATTCACTGAATTGGGGATAAAAAAAGTGCAGTACAGAAAAACATAAAAGCTGTCCAGGCCTTCCTCTGTTTCATGACCACAGCCAGTGAACAGCAGACAAGGACAACTGAGGCATGTTTTTTGATGGTCCTTGTTCAGACACAAAGGAGGGAAAATAACCTGTGTTTGTAAAGCACATGTTACGCATATTTTATAAGGCTTTCAATATTGAGGGTAGTAGCCATATTCTCTCCCTGCTGCTGATGACCCACTTCTACACTGTGTCCACGGACAAATGGTCCAACAAGGACAGTTTAGAACACACAGAGCAGACTTCAGACTTCAGTTTCCTGCTGGCAGCTGGATGTTCCTCTGCAGATAACCCTGAAGTCTCCATGCAGATCTCTCAACCACGTATTCAAAAGTTGAAGTTTGACCCTGCATCAAAACAGTGTCTGTGTCAAAACAGAGAACTGAACAGGGCATGTTAATCATTTTTATATGAGAAGTTAAAATCCAAATTCCCATTTCTCTTTTACTGTAACTGTGAATTTTCCATTATTACAAAAAAAAGTAATGATGTCTTTTTTTAAACTCCAAACATGAGAATCTAAAGAAATATTTGATCACCTCCACCTAGCAAACGTGCTACAGACAGCTTTATTTTTTTGCCCCCTGACCAGTGTTCTGTTGAGATTTAAATTTAGAACCTTCTTTTCCCCACGGGGCCATGGAAAGGTCAAACAGCAACAAAATAACCGAAACAAAATACAATTATGTTTCTTTGTAGGAGAAAGAGGGATATTAACAAAGTATTAGGAAATATAGAACGAGGTGATGATGAACGAGGTGATGATGAACGAGGTGAATGTGCAAAAGATGTGATGATGTTCTTCGTGTGCTAATTTACATTGCAGTGCTTGAGGAGCAGATAACTTCACATCCTCAGACTGCATACTGTATGTTAAAGTTGCAAAGTTCTGCACATGAGAAATACTGAAATACCACACGCGGGGGAAAAATTAATTACTATAAAAAATGATATATTAGAATATTATAAGGGAATGATTGTTGTCTAATGTATGATAAATATTAACACTATATATAAGGCACATCAGAAGAATAAAATATTGAACCCCTAAATATAGAATTAGAATAAAGCATGAAAGTAAATAGAATAGTGCTTACCTTAGACTAAATAAAAGTTAGTGGGAATAAAATGTTGTGAAATGCGGCACATGGGAAGCTTGGATTTTTAGAACATTACATAAAGAAAATGTATTTCACCAAAAGTTTACGTTTTGTAATTATTTAAACATTATTAACTTTAAGTTAATAAAGTATTATTGAAAAAACATGTATTTAATTAGGTACATAGTAGAATGTATTGTTTAAAAATGTACATATTAAGCTTTTGCACATTGAAAACCTGAAATATAGTCAATTTTCTAAAGTTGTGATTTCTATTGGTTCCAGTATAAATTAAGTGAGTCTTTATCAACATGAAGTATTTAGTAATTCACCGTGGATGTGCAGAGCTTTAAAACACTACAGACATGCTGCAACTGTATGTCCACTGTACCACCGTGCATGATAAAATATAACCAAATCAGGTCTGACCTGACTTAATGTGACACCCATCTCGTCGTATAGGCGGCTGTGACTCTTGGTGGCGCTATCTCACGCATTCAAAAAGCTTTGCAAATGGTCCAGAATACAAAAGTACACCTTCTCGCTTTTATTAGCCTTACAGGGCACATATCACTTCACCACTTATCGACCTCTACTGGCTACTCACTGCTGTCTATAAACAACCTCAAGTGGCCCGCACACATCTGCTGAGTGCTGTTTCCTGCCCGGGAACATATGGGAAAGAAAGAGGTTTCTGCTGGTTATCGTTAAAACAAACCGAGGAAATTCAATCAGAGCAGGTGCAGCATTTGCTGTACTCTAAGCCATCTCTGTGGCAGCACACCCATCATATCATATTGAGCTGTTGTGTTAAAATGGCACAGTAAGAGCATAGTTTAGAACAAGCACAGTAGCTACCGTTTTTTTCTTATTGAACAGATTTAGCTTTCAGTTTTTCACTTGAAGGTCTTCCATTGTACTCCAGCTTCAGTAAAATACTCAGCAGTAAG